ACCACTTAATTTTGACATAATGCCACATCACTCTATATTCCCTCCTTTAGGGGAGTACTAAGAGTTGGAGCCACGACGATCTACCTATAGATGTTTTACCTTTTTATCTTTGGCGTCTTTTCACATTATTGATGACCCTTACTCGCCTTGCAGTAATCCTTCTGTACCAAGGATGACAAAATTCCTTACTCGTGAGGGTGACACTTAGTATAACTGGCACATACAGTCCCTTAAGCTTAACTTTGCTCACATTGTTTACTTTAGGGAAGCGTTTTCCTGAATGACCATTTTCTAAATTTCTCATGAATCTTCTTCTGCTGTCCATTCTATTATCATTGGAACGCAATCTAAAATTCTCATGATGTCGATCATTATCAAACCACTCAGTCCCTAATTCATGTTTAGTTTATCTTGTTCACCAATCCATACTTATTTCTATTACTTTGGGGTCTAACTTTTCCTTCTGGTAATCACGTTAGAGTCACATGCTTATTTCTCGAAATGAGGATATGACTTTGTGGCCTATACTCTTTTATTGTCTCTAGGCCTATCACATCTCGTCTCTTCCTTCACCTGATTATAGGTTGTGTAATACTGTCATTTTTTTAATCTACCGTTGTTATCCATGTATCACATCTTACTTATAATGCTTCCTCATCTCTCTTCTTATTTCTCTGCTAATATTTCTGCGTATCACTTTCTTTTGAAGACTTCAACAAGACATTCTTTTGATTTTAGCTCTCCTTGCTTTATTCATTGACTCTTCGGGTTGCCTAACATTCTTGCTCTACTAGATACGGGATCCACACTAAGATAATATTTATCCCTTTAAGGCTTCCGGTTCCTATCTTTATTGTACTCATATCTAGTTGTACTATTTTAGAGTGCACCATCTGGGTGTCCCACAAGGAGATCTATTAGCACATTTTCACTATCCTTCGAAAATGTCAACTAACGCAAACAATCCATTCACCATTTTGGGTCACTCTGACCCCAGCCGGATCCTTATATTCGTCCTTCTCTTATACTACTTTTGTTATTCTTGGAGGTAACTCAAAACGGCTTATATCTCTCTTCTTGAATGGTAAATAATGATAATCTTCATTAACTGGGTACCTCATACCCTTCTTCACCTTACTTCTTTTACTTATTGAAACATGTCTCTTCCTTCCGGTTCTGCAGGAGTGGATAAGTATTCTTGCCTTAAAGCTCCTTATCAAGAACCTTACACCTTTTAGTACATGCATGATCTGCTGAAGACCTCACATTTACTCATCATAAGCATGATGCAAAATCGAGTTTCTCTGACTCAACACTTCCACAGTTATATCTCGTACCAACCGTCTTTCTGAATGTAGGCATCGTTGTATTACGAATAGGATAGAGTTTAGGAAATAGAGTTACTGAGCTCTACCACACGAACTAGAGTAAGAATAAAGAGTGATAGCTCTAAATGCCTTGTAGCCTCCTTCTTATAACTGTGGTGCACGACACACCCATAAACACTCTACTAGACAGGACTTGTAGACTCCCTAGGACAGAACTGCTTTGATACCACTTTTGTCACGCCCCGATCCTGGGGGGCGAGACTGGCACCCGGTGCCTCACCTATCCTTGCGTACCAACTTGCGACTAAGGGACTCTGAATATATAATGTCATACTTTGGCCATGGGCCACATTGCAAGATAATTGTGAATGCATACTAAACATCAATATAAAGCTGGGCCGACAAGGCCGTCATAACTACTACAACTGGCCAACTAACAAAATATACATAGGGCTACAAGCCCAATATACTACTGACAGGATATGTCTACAAGCCTCTACTGACAGATATACTGTGATCGGAACAGGGCCCCGACCTACTCATAATATACATACATATATACATAAGATGTACATAAAGCTCTAGACCTGGCAACTCCGTAGGGCATGGATCTTATAGATCAAGCTAAACTCAGGCAACACCTAATGAGGAGATTTACCCGTCTGTCTGTCTGAACCTGCACGCATGAAATGCAGCGCCCCCAGAAAAGGGACGTCAGTACGAAATAATGTACCGAGTATGTAAGGTAATATACTGAAAGTTGCAACTGAACTGATAATATAATAACTAAAAGTAACTAGGAGTCAAAGATAATCTAGAGATATGCTCACCCGTTGATACTGACTCAACTATCTCAATATAGTAAGTAAAATAGATGTCCGACCCTATAAGGCTCAGAGTGTATATATATATATATATATATATATATATGATCTACCGTATTAGACTCGCTCATAGGCGCTCGGCCATACTAGGCTTTGTATCTCGGTTAACTGGGCTCGCTCATAGGCGCTCGACCACAGTAGGCTCGGTATATAACTTACATCTGATTAGAGGTTGCCTNATATATATATATATATAGACTCTCTGCTCTCTTGACTGGAAGACGACAATACTCAACTGAATATAAAGTCCCGACAAGGGAGAATACTGTCTTTTATGAGAGTAGGAAATGTACATAAATTCAGGAATATGAACCTCTCTTTATGCCTCATTATCAAACTCGTGTAATTACGAGATCATACCAAAATGAAGGAAGGGCTTAGCCTTAATATAACTGAGCCGATTCTCTTGACAATCCTTCCAACCCAAGTCAATTGCGACAACATGTAACGACGGATCGAAGTAGGAGAAATTCACATGATATTCTTGAAAAAGATTGCATCGTACTCCCTTAAAATCACAACATCCCGTTGCCATAACATTACATAGTCTCATATGATTTTTGTAGCAGAATCCACGTTGCTAATCATTCTGAATGAGTTGCTATAATATTGAGTAATATACTCATATGAATGTTGCTGAAGGAAAACGTTGCTTGTAGCATCTCAATTTGCTATTTTAAGAGACCTTTTACACTATACATGAAGCCACCTCATCCTTTAATTATGACACCTATTGTATGCACTTTGAGAGTCACATTTGGTGCCTTTGATGTTGGTTCCAATAATTAGCTTAATTTACTTGGTTAATCTCCCACTAAAATCCATAATTACCTAATTATCCACATAATTAAGAATTATCTTAAATTACTTAAAATATTCATCATTTTTTAGCACACTTTATACACCTCACTATTATGGTCATGTGGTACCTTGTATGACACTAGTCCATAAATACGGGGTATTATAGGTTGGACCGTATTTTATCTCCAACTTTGACGAAATTTATTTTCTTCGATTTGCTTACCCTCTCACCTTCACGAATTTATTCATCAGATGTTTGAAATAGCATAATGCTTATAATCTCATTCCCGAACTTACTTTGATTAACTTACGACGAAATTTAACATACGAAAAAATGCAGGATGTAACAAATAAAAATATAATAAAATAAATAAAAAGAAAAAAAAGGTTGATAGAAACAAAAAAGGAAAGGAAAAATTACTGAGGAATAATTTGGGAAATATAAATTTATAGTAAGAATATTTGTATCTTAAAAAAAATAATTTTCTGCTTCTGCTAGAATTATATATATTTTTTTAAACCAGAATTTTTTTGGTCAAATACCTTAAGAGCATGTTTGGAAAGCCACCTTGGAAATGGATTTGGGTGTAATTGGGTGTAATTACACAATTTGACATGTTATTTTGGTCAGGTAATTACTTGGTCAACATAAGATTGAGTGTAATTGGAGGGGGTGTAATTACACTCTCCAATTCTCAAGGGGGATGAGAGAATTGGTGGTAATTACACTGTGTAATTACAAGGTTGTCTTTTAGTTTCTTTCCTTTTTGTTTTTATTTTAATTTATTTTTTTATAACTTTTTATTTCTATTTTTTAATTTTTTAATTTAATTTTTACTTTTTAATTTCTTTTGAAATTTTAAAATATTTTTTTTGTACATTATTTATCTTTTATTTCTCTACATTTGCTTCTTGTGATTCCATGTAATTGCTTATATTTTATTTTTTATTAATTTTATTATTCTATTTTTTGAAACTATACTTCCTAATATTAGAAATAATGAGTCATTAACAAACTTGTCATATAATGAGTGATACAATTAAAATGAAAAGTTGTTGAATGTGGTTATAAGCTTATTATGTTTCCTAATCTTAAGTTGTAGTGGAACTTACTACAACTTAAATTGTGTTATATTCATGGTTTCAATTTACTTGTTTTAGTAGTATTGACTCACATTGCATGTTGTTCATGTTTTAGTTAGGATTGATAGTNAAAAATTTTGAGAAAAAAGAGAAAATTTCTTATGTCCAAACGGGCAATGTTTAGTTGTAGTGGAACTTACTATTATTATGTTGGAATTTGACATATGTTAGACTATTTCTTTTTTTTTTGAATTTTAAAATTGTGTTATATTTATCGTTCCAATTTATTTGTTTTAGTACTATTGGCTCACGTTGCATGTTGTTCACATTTCATAGAATTTACTTGTCAAACACTTGAATAATGTTATGACATTATATTTATAAATATTAATTTATTTTATCAAACATGAGTTCCATGATGTTCTTACAAAGCGTATATTTTTAGTTTTTGTAAGTATCTAAATTCAATATTATTAATTTGAAATATATATATATATATTATTTTTACAATATTAGTTATAAATATATGATTACTAATTAATGTATATTTACGAAAAAATATACATCTTAAATGCCAATTATATGATTACTAATTAATGTATATTCACAAAAAAATATACATCTTAAATATACGCCTATAAAAATTTATAGGCCTATATTTATTATATTAACTTTTAAGTTTTGATAATTACTTTATTTAAAATTTAATTTAACTGTATAATTATACTTGTGCAATCAAACAGTAAACGTGTAATTATATTATAATTACACTATGATAAACAAACAGGTCATCATAGTTATATAACTGCGTAATTATTACCCTAGTAATTCTAATTACATGGCATGCTCTAAATTGGCTTTCCAAACAGGCTCTAAATTGTCTCGTAGAAGCTTGGCCGAATAGTTGACTAGGCTATGGATTTTCAATTTACGAGTCCAAGTATTTTCACCCCTCAGTCAAAGTTATGGAGATGGATTCTTTATCCTAACGCCATTCCCCGACATTTGCCTTCGTGCTCGCTTCATTAAAAAGCGAAGTAGTGCTGTAACATCTATTTCCCCAATTGAAGAAGAGAGCTCCAATTCTCTGGTATTCCCCCGCAACTACAAGTGAATTATTCCAATCTTGGTACTTTTTGAGCTAAAATTTTCAGTGTGCCATGAAAATTTCAGTCTTGATTGCTTCTGCTATACCCTGAATTATCTTGTACTATTAATTTCTGTACCATTTGGTCATGATCTTGCCTAACATATGACACATTCTCTTTACTTTTCAGTTTGACACTTCAAATGACTCATAAACTCACTGCGTTCTTCACAAAAATCTTGCTTCCGTTCTTCATACTGTCCACTCTCTCTCTTCCTAACAGGTGAGCACTGAGCAGAGTTAGAATTTAGCTCTAGCTGTTAGTGTTATTTGATTGCTTCTGTTATTTTATTTTATTTTAACCTCGTTAAGTAACTCTTCTTTCCTAATTTGCCTTAGTAGACGCAATATTTAGTACTGAGCTTGAATAGAGTAGAATAGATAGAGGATTCATATAGTCGGTCCAAGTTAACGCCAACAAGTTCGGGACTAAGGGGGTAATTCATTGATGTATACAACGACAACAACAAACCCAGTGAAGTCCCACAAGTGGGGTCTAGTCTTACTCCTACCTTGGGAGGTTAGAGAGGCCGTTTCCGGTAGACCCTCGCCTCACTAAGGACATTGATGTATAAGTAATGTCAAAGATTCTGACTTTCTCTGAGGAGCAAGTTCCTGGAGAATCCTTTATAAGAGAGCACGATTTTATCTACTTAATTATGTGTTCAACACGCCCTCATGTGCGGGCCTGACATTTTTTTATGGGCCACACGTGGAAATTTTTTTTATTATGGGTGACGGTGAGTTCGAACCTAGACATTTGCTTACTCTAATATCATGTTGAAGCGTGTGACCATCTTTTTGTGTTAATTTTGCAATTATTTGCCTTCTTTCTTATTTTTCTTTCTCTCCATCATTGTTTATTCTGTAACTATTTTTTGTTGCTCTCACACTGAACTTAGATTTCTCGCAACTTAAAAATTAATCATGCAACTAGGCTTCAATTCGTAATTAGTTGGGTCTGCATATTATTTCTTTATGTCCATTCCACTATCTTCAATCGGAGTCGGCGATATGAATCTTAAAATGATTAAACAGAAAAGAATAGGGAGAATGAAGGCCCTTCTTAGGGGTTCGACTTGTTGACCATTGTTCTCTTTGTTTCCTATATTACTCACGTTCTGTGCTTCTCTTTCTTCAATGCTCTAATGCTTCAGATATTCAGCAGATGCTTCTACAGAAACAGAAAAGACATTGGCTATAATAAAGCCAGATGGAGTTTCTGGAAACTATACAAATTCCATAAAGGAAACAATTCTTGATCATGGATTCAAAATCACTGAGGAATTGTTCATTCAGCTTGACGAGGATCATGTGAAAAGCTTTTATGCTGAGCACTCCTCAAGGAGCTTCTTTCCAAGCCTTGTTGAGTACATGGCCAGGTAAACTTTCCCCGCCTGGAAATGGTATTTGATTCTGAATTTTCTAGTAAGCCTCATTCTGTTTCTTAGACAAGGTGCCTGTTAGTGCTGCTGCATTATTTTTTTCTTTTTTCTCCTTTTTATCTATTGCTTCAAACTATTTACTGGTTCTTTGAAGAAAAATAAATTACATCTTTATAATATAGGCTGTAGGCTAGTTTGATTTGGTCTCAAGTGGTTGTTGAGAACATCTATACCGTTATATGGAGAAGTTACCAAAACAATTTGTTGACTCTTGAAAATGGATGATATCCGATGTTGGTTGTTGCAAGATTCCTGGAGGAATTGCAGCCTAAACCGACTGTTGTATCTGCCTCTAGATTGGAGCTATTATATGTTGCTTCTAACAGTATAATAGAAAGTAGTATACTCAGACCTTGGATACAATTTAGACTTGAGGTTCATAAACGATCGGGATGACTGGAAGGTGGTATAGGTCGACCAATTTTTCTCTATATTACATGTTTTTCAGTATTTGGGACAGGAAGCGGACACCCTTCTTTGGCTGAGGCAGAAAAAGGGGAGCTTTAGTGTTTTCTACTCACTGCTTGTTCAGCTAGTGGTGATGCATGACGTTTCCATGATAGGCCATTTTCAGGACAAAGGCAGCTAATTTGGTTGGAGAATGATAAAGTAATGCAACATGCAACCTGGATAATTTGCGAAAAATGGGGAGAACTCTGAGTGACGAGGATGAAGAAATATGTGAATTGCCTCCTTTTGCATTGTGAGGTGGAGCATGTTTAATGTGCCGTTTGGAGTGAGATAGGTTTTGCAAAGAGCCAATTTTGGAATGTGTATCATCGTTGAAGGTGAAGGGGAGCCTTGCGTAACCGGTAAAGTTGTTGCTATGTGACCTGGAGGTCACAGGTTCGAGCCGTGGAAACAGCCTCTTGCAGAAATGCAAGGTAAGACTGTCTACAATAGACCCTTATGGTCTGGCCCCTTCCCCAGACCCCGCACAGAGCGGGAGCTTAGTGCACTGGGCTGCCCTTTGTATCATCGTTGAAAGGGTTCTAAGTATGCATGGAAGTCTTAAGTTATTTTGTTGGTGTATTCAGAGGGTTGAGGCGCTATTGATTGAAACAAAGGTTTGTAAAAGATCTATCTTCATCAATAAAGTTTTGTAAATGATATAGAAAGCTTTGGAATCTTTGGAGTTCGTTAGAGATATAATTTTGTATGAAATGATGTAGAAAGCTCTTTATCAAAGAAGTAAATAACATAGAAAGCTATGCGAATCTTCTTTGAGTGCTTTAAAGATGTAGTTTTATATAATTGATATAGCACCAGCTTGGTAACCTTTTCAACCATTCAAATAAACCCTTCAGTTTTTGAGAAAAAGGGTCTTTTTTTATCTATCCACTTGATAATCCTTTCATTTCAGTGGCAGAAGTAGAGAAATAAGTGAAGATCTGTCTTTTGGACTTCGCTATTATGTATTTAGAATAGTTTTGTGGACTGATTTCTCATGAGAATTTTTCGCAGACTGCTCCTCCTCTCTTTTCATCCATTTACTACAACATTTTTCCTTGATTGACCATTTATCGTCAGTGGTCCAGTGTTGATAATGGTTTTGGAGAAAGGGAATGCCATAGCTGACTGGCGTGCATTAATTGGTCCAACAGACCCACTCAAAGCAAAGGTTACTCATCCTTACAGGTACCTTCTCCTCTCTTCCTTTTTTATTTTTTAAAATTTTCGGCTCTGTTATTATTACATAGGTCATACAATTAGAAGATTAGAAAGTTAAATAGATAGTTTGTCTTACTTACAAAAAAAAAAGGGTACTACCGCATTTCTCAAAGATTTGCTTTTGAAAATTGAAACGTTGTAATGTATGTGCAACTCTCGATTTCCCTTAGTCTGAGGTTGCGTTTCTGCAAAGAAGCTGTCTCCTTCATGGCATTACTTTGTAACATTTACTGATATTCTTGCAAATTCTGAATCTTCTCCTCCCACATATGTTAAAAGTTTATCTAAAACAGCTAGTTGCTTCTTTTCTATGTTATTAGCTTTTACAAGTTTTGTTTTCCTACCTTACAAGATGTTGAAGTTGTCGGTAATGCCTATGACTTTAATGACCCCATACATAGTTAAAGGAATTCACAGTCTAAGTTACTTGTAATGGCACCTACGTGGTGCTGTTTTCATTAATATACGTACCCACAACAGAAAAATAAATTAATAAATAAAATGTACCAGTGTTATTAAAAGCGCTCGCTTCTTGCTTTAAGCGATGAGGCGAGGCACAGGGTTAGCGCTTTTCTGCTAAAAAAGCGACTCACATTCAAAAAGCGTGAGCTTTTCTTGCTTAAGCGAGAAGCGAGCCGATAGAAAAAGCGAGAAAAAGCGTGCTTAAGCGAGCAGAAGGCATCAGCTAGGGTTTTTATAAAAAAATTTGGCAAATAAACCATCTGTGAACAAACAAACATACGCGACTTTTTCTCCAGCGAACTCCAGCGACGACCACTGCTGCTTCAACGACTTCTTCTCCAGATCTCGGTATGTTTCTTCAACTTCTTCTTCTTCTTCCGTTCTTTTGTTCTTCTTCTTCTTCTTCTTCTGGTCTTCTTCTTCTTCTGTTATTCTTTCAATTTTTTTCACTTTTAAGCGCTCATTTTGTGCCCTAAATGACTTCTTCTTCTTCTGTTATTAAAAGTGCTCTGTTTTATGCTGCTGTATGCTCTGTTTTCTGCAATTTATGTTTGTTTTCTGTTTTCTGCAATTTATCAGTTAATTAATTGTTATTTTTTTTTTTTTGGGTTGTTGATTGTAGTAAATTTAATTTGATTATTCAGTGGCATCAAGCCATTTGCTTAATATGTTATTTTTAATGAGTTCTTAGCCATTTATCTATGCCTATTTTATTTTTTATTTACGTGTTAAATTGTGCTTCACATGAAAAAAGCGCGCGCCTCGCTTCTGTGAAGCGAGGCCTCGTCGCTTTTTTGCGCTTAACGCTTTCCAAAACATTGCCTTTTACATTTGACAATCATTGTCAGACATTTGTTCATTCTTGGTAAGATATATGTTTCTTAACCTGTGTCTTTATCACTTTCAGTGTTAGAGCTATATGTGGGCTGGATTTACAGAAGAATTGTGTTCATGGTTCTGACTCACCTCAGTCTGCAGCCCAGGAAATAACTTTTTTCGTTGAAAGGACATCATCAGGTCACTACTAAGCCCATTTTATGCATGTTTTTCTAATTATGTGTCACGACCCTAAAACCGACCCTGTCGTGATGGCGCCTATCGTGAAACTAGGTCAGCCTCCACAACTCCCGATTCAAACCATTATTCTATAAAAGTCATTTGTTAGCCATTAATTGACAAGAAATCTCCTAATATAAGTTTAAATAACCAGTGTGGAATAAATACACAAGCCCGACATCTGGGTGTCACAAGTCACGAGCAACTACAACTCTGTCTCAATACAATAAAGTCTAAACAAGATTGGAAGACCATACTAAATAAATCTAGGAAAGATATGAGGGAGAAGAACAGGGCTGCGAACGCCATGCAGCTACCTTGTCGACTCCGATGAACCTGCCACTGAGTAATCAACACCCGCTACCGGTTTCAGAAATACCTGAATCTGCACACAAGGTGCAGGGAGTAATGTGAGTACGCCAACTCAGTAAGTAATAAGAGTAAATAAAGACTGAGCAGTAAAAAAACACATAGTCCATGTCATAACACCACAATAAGTACAGTGTGTTTCCAAAACAGTATATAAATCAAATCATTTCATTAAAAATCCAGTTTTCGGTAGAAATCGTTTGAAGATGTGTAAAAATCCATTTAAAATATCTTTCAGCAGTTTTCAAACAAGTGATGAAACAGTGAGTAGAAATGATGAAAACATAGTCGGCCCCTCGGGCAAAAACTCACTCGTATACAGCCGCTTGGGCACAATGAATCATAAACCGTCCCTCGGGCAAAATATCAACAGAACCAGCCCCTCGGGCTACCTCACAATCACTCGTAATCAGCCCCTCGGACTACCTCACAATCACTCATATACAGCCCCTCAGGCAACAACATGAAACAACAACAGCCCCTCGGGCAATAACATATCACTCACACTAGGTACCCGCGCTCACGGGGGGTGTTCAGACTCCGGAGGGGCTCCTACAGCCCAAGCGTTATAACAAGCCATCTTGTGGCATAATCAATCAGGCCCTCGGCCTCTCATATATCACAAATCAGTACAACATGCTGCGGCGCGCAACCCGATCCCATGATATCCTCACAACGCAGGCCCTTGGCCTCACTCAGTCAGAAATCTCTCAAGCCACTCGGGCGATAGTAAAATAGGATGCTCAGCCCCAAAATATCATTTAAAATATCAAAACAGTGTAAATATGGCTGAGTTGTGAAATTAGTAAAGCACAGCATGACTGAGTATAGATATTAAGTCAAAACAGTGAGGAATAGTAGTAAAAAGCCCCTAAGGGTCCAAAACAGTTGGCACGAGGCCCAAATATGGCATTCGGCCCACAACATAGTAATACTTTCCAAAACACAATAGTATCAAATAGTTTTCAATCAAATACGCGACTTAAAATTCGTACGGGACAGACCAAGTCACAATCCCCAACGGTGCACGCCCTCACACTCGTCATCTAGCGTGTGTGTCACCTCAAAGTAGCACCACGATGTGAATTCCGGGATTTCATACGGTCCAAGCTCTAGCATGCGATGTCTTTGCCTCTCGACTCGGCCTCCAAATGCACCAAATCTAACCAAAATCAGTTTCACATCATTAATATACGCTAAAGGAGCAAAACCCAAGCGAAAATAATCAAATTAACTCAAAACTCCCGAAATTAGCTCAAACCCGGACCCCGGACCCCGGGCCCACGTCTCGGATTTTGATAAAAATCACACCACTAGAATCCTTATCCTCCCACGAGTCCATACATTCCAAGAACATCAAAATCGGACCTCAAATGGCCCCTCAAATCCCCAATTTACACTCTCTAATTTCAAGCCCTAATTCCCCTATTTTAGGCTTTAAATCCCACTAATTTCATGTCTAAATAGCTAGAAATCACCATAGAATCGAGTATTGAGTTCAAAAACCTTACCTCCAAGTGTTTCCCTTCGATTCCCTCTCAAAAAGCTTCAAAGCCGTTCAAAAATGGTGAGAAATGGGCTAAAAATCGCGGAGATGAGTTTTTATTCATTCTGCCCAGGTGCTCTCTTCATCGCAAACGCGACCATCCTCTCGCGTTCGCGTAGGCCAAACTCAGACGACCTCCGCTTAACCCTTCGCGAACGTGACAACTGTTTCGCAAACGCGATGCTTAACCAGCTCACTCCTTCGCGAACACGGACCTCACCTCGCGAACGCGTAGACTAAAGACCTGGGGTCCCCAACTGCCTCACTCCTCTTCGCGAACGCGACCCCACTCACGCGTCTGCGATGCACATGCTGCCTTAACCTTCGCGTTCGCGTCCTCTCCTTCGCGAACGCGTAGAACAAAATCCACCACCACAGAAGACACCCTCCGCGAACACGATGAACAAACTCTCTGCAATAGAAAACCAGCAAAAATCTGCAACTCCCAAAACCAAGAATTGGTCCATTAACCACCCGAAACTCACCCGAGGCCCTCAGGACCTCAACCAAACATGTCAACACATCCCATAACATCATTCAAACTTAGTCGAGTCTTTGAATCACTCAAAACAACACGAAAACACCAAATTAACCTCGTATTCAAGCCTAAGAACTTAGAAACTTCCAAATTCCACAAACAACGCCGAAACATATCAACCTTGTCTGAATGACTTGAAATTTTGCACACACATCACAAATGACACTACGAACCTACTCCAACTTTCGGAATTCCATTCCGACCCCAATATCAAGATTTTCACTACCGACCGGAAACTCCAAATTTTCAATTTCGCCAATTCAAGCCTAAATCTACCACGGACCTCCAAATCACATTTCGGACGCGCTCCCAAGTCCAAAACTCACCTAACGGAGCTAACCAAATCATAAAAATCTAAATCCGAGATCGAATACTAAAAAGTCAAAACTTTGTCAAACCTTTCAAATTTAAAGCTTCAAACTGGGAATTGTTCTTCCAAATCTATTCCGATTATCCTGAAAACCAAAACCGACGATTTGCATAAGTCATAATACATCACACGGGGTTAGTCATGCCCGAGAACTGGCGAGCGAAGTGCAAGTGTTCAAAACGACCGGTCGGGTCGTTACATTATGTGCATGACGTTTCTCTTTCCTCAACTCTTTACAATGAAAAGAGAAAAAGGGTGATGGTATTCGTTCTTTTTTGGCTGTGACATGTGTGATGATATTTGGTTTTGCTGGCTGTGACATAGCTGGTCAGCAGTAGTTACTTTTTAGATCCTGCTTGAAATTCTTGAAAAGTTATTTTTATACCAACTGCTAATTACTGCTACTTCTTTGGCACTTGTCTCTTCTGAGATTTTCTTGGCCAAAGAAGTGGGTGCAAGAAAGGAAATAAAGCATTAGTTTGATATTTATCACCCAAATTGATTATTTTTGCATAAAATGCTAATGTAGCTTTTAGCTGCATTCTGTAGCTGATTATCAAAGGCAAATTTTGAGTAAATTGCATTTATTGGTTGTCAGTATAGCCGAATTGCATCAAGGTGCTTTCACACGTACCACATTTAATTAACCTTTTAGATTGAGACAAGTGAAATTAGTTGCTCTGCCTGTTGGTTGACGGAAACAAGGATTCTAACAGTTACACCGGCTTTTAACACCCAGTGCCCCATCTCTGTTGCTTCTTCCCTTGAACTTCTAAATGCTTCCTTAAAACCTGTAACATTGTTATGAATGCATGTTCAACCCCCTCTGAACTAGATTAAATTTCCAGGATAGGAGATGAGATAATAAGATCTACGTCTGACACTTTTACTTTTTACTTTGGGGGTGGGGAGTCACCGGATCATATGGTTTGAAATTTTTGTTTAATTTGATCAACTTCAGCATAAAATGGACTAAATTAGCTCATTTCAAAATTTTATAAGATTAAAAATGTTTTGAACACGATAAGAAGGGACAAAATTTGAAATTATTCTGGAACACGTGGATAGAAAGTTAATAAAATCTACCGATCAGGGAAAAATAAGTGCAATGAAATCCCTTCATTTTGATGGGAGTATCCCGAAACAAATGTCTTATTTGACATTTTACTTTTCCTGCTTCTTTTAAAAGTTGTTTGGAGAACTAGGTAAAATGTCTGTCTCTCCATTTTAAGCGTCCTTCGCCAAATCCCCACCCCAATCAAAAAGAAAAGAAGAAAAAGCATTAGAAGAAAGAAAGAGCACTAGTCTTTTGCTTGTTTGATGTACGATGTAAACTCCCTGTAGATTCTACTAACTAGAAGTAAAATGGAAAGGGGAAATAAATCTGGTGTCAGAAGTTTCCGCTATGTATCTTCCACTTAAAATCAATGAACTAACATCTTATCAAAGTCAAAACTGATCACCTCCATATATCTGTCTTCCATTGTAAGAATGGAGAAACTTTTCAAGAGATAACTTTTTTGCAAGATCAAGCTTAGCAGATTGGTTATTGGGGGTGAGACAGTAGACTTCATCTTGGCAGTTAACTGAAGATGGATGGTGCCTATATTATATGGGTAGAGTTGTCAGTATCTTCGACATGGAACATATATAATGTGTGTGCGAGTGAAAAACAATATAATGTCAACAAATATTATATCCTAAACTCATAATAATGAAACTACAATGAGTTCAGAACCTTAAGGGGTCGTTTGGTACGAGGGATATTTTGGATTAAGTTTGGGAATAAATTTATATCGTGTTTGGTTGGCGGTTTAAATTTATGGGCCAGGATATCCCATCTTATCCAACATTATTCCATCAAACTTGAGATTATTTTATCCCACCTCCCATGTGGTATAAATTAGTCCTGGGATTATAATCCTGTAATTCCGGGATAATTTAGTTCGCGTACCAAACGACCCCTAAAGATTGAATTCATCAAAGTTTAAATTATGGATCCGTCTCTGCAGTTATGGGAATTCCCTTATCTAGTGAATGTTGAATGTTGTGGGAATTCCCTTATCTGTCTAAGCATGGACATACAACATTGTGAACCATGGCAGAGTATCTTA